CATGTAGACGATGAGCATGTGCTCGGGCAGCCGCCCGAAAGTTTTGAGGATGGAGGCGAGGGAGCCGTTCTCGACGTACTCGAGGACGAGGTAGAGGTGGTGCTCGGTGCGGATCGTCTCGTGGAAGCGGATGATCTGCGGGTGCGACAGGTTCCGCAGCAGCTCCACCTCAGACTCGACGGCGCGGGCGGCGGCCGCCGACATCCCGACGAGAGGAATCTCCTTAATGGCGACAAACTGGGAGCCGCCGCCCTGGTTGAGGGCGCGGTACACCTTGCCCGACGAACCGCGCCCGAGCTCCTCCCCAAGCACGTACTTGGAGTCGAGCAGCCACGTCTTGCCACGACCTCGCTCAGCGCCACCGCTGGCGCCGCCGGCGCCCGTGCCGGTGCCTGTGCCGCTGAAGGCGACCGAGTGTTCGCGAGAGAGGTGGGGTGAGACCGTGCCAGAGGGATGCCGCGAGCGGTTCATGCACGGGGAGCAAGCAAGGTCCGCCGCCTAGGCTGGAAGCAAAGTCCACCGCCTAGGCTGGAAGCCGCCCGCCGAGCTTCTTGAAAAACGGGTGTCAAACTCCTGCAGCGAGAGAGAGAGAGAGAGAGAGAGAGAGAGAGAGAGATAGCTCGAGTACTGGGACAAGGATGGGAGGTGTGGTCGAGTACGAGGACTGGGGGGGGAGGGGGTTCAACCTGGTGAAGGCGGACTGTGGGCCATCGCGGGGACCAGCTTGTCCGGAGGGCGGGCTGGATGGATCCGGATGGTCTTCACACCGGTGGGAGGCACCGAGGCGTCGTGGGGACGCTCTTCTGTTCAGTCGACGCTCGTCGTCCACTGAGAACTCAGTGGTTGTCACCACTTTGTATTCTTTAATATTAACCTTGCGAACTCGTCCCCCCCGGCAGGGCTATGCAACTGTGACCAGTGTGTGCTGTCTACGCTGAACCAGGTGTCAAATCTGCCGATGCGTGACCTGTGCGTGGGCTGCTCTGTGAGGGGTCCAGGCGTAGTCCGACGGGTAGGGGGTCTGTGCCCGGGCGGTGTCCGGTGCGGAGTCTCTCTCTGATCCCGCCTGGGATGTTGGGTGCGAGGTGTGGCGGCTTCGATCCCAAGGGGGGGAGCTGATCCCACTCGGTAACCAACTCTCAGGGGCAGTAGGTGGGCGAGCTTCAAGCGCGCTCATCTCGATCGTCAAGGCGTCGCTACGCGCGGTCTTCCGCGGGGGGAGCTTCGTCGACGGGTGCGGGACTGCGGCGCAGACAGTGCTGCGGCAATGCCTCCGGCTGCTGCGGCGAGTGGGGTGCTGCTCGCTGCGATGGCGAAGAACTCGTCTCGTCACACGCCAAGGGCTTACGCTCTGTCGAGACGTGAGGCGTATGCGCCCAGGAGGGGAGGGCGCATGCGTAACGACACTGCTAGAGATGCCTTTCGGGGCCCAGAGATAAAACTTCTGATGCCATGCGTGACCTAGTAGTGTCCCCAGCTATGGGCGTGTCCACGTTGGAGCCAGGTGTGGTGTGGACGCGAGAATAGCTCCGCCGTTCATGGAGGCAACCGATGCGAGTCGACTGGTGTGTGTCGTCGTGGTTTCGTATCAAGAACTCTCTCTCTCTCTCTCTCTCCTGCAGCGCTGTGGGAACAGCGACGCAGTCTCGCCGAGGGCTCGCCCCAGCATCTCGGGTTGACTCGGCCAGACTAAAACCCCGAGAGGCGTGGGAGTACCTCGCCAGCTGCAGCGTGATCTCAATGTCGGGAAGCTCTCGGATCGACTCGCACGCACGCATCGAGGATCGAGCGAGCGCGTTCTCGACCAGCTCGCGCACAGTCGTGTAGAGCGACTTACTTACCGACGTTGTCAAAGCCGGCGATGTTCTTGTTCTCCGAGAACTGCGGCGCGGGCGCGGCGACGGGAGGTGGGCGCTCCCTGATGATGATGGTGCGGGCGGCGGAAGCGGATGTGCGAGCGCACGAATTCCGTCGGCGACTTGAAGCGCAGCACTTCTCCACGAGCAGTGGAGATTTTGGTGCCGTCCTTTGCTGCTTTGGGAGGCATGCAGGTTTCGGCGGCAACGAGTGGCGGCTGGGCCTGAGCGCGAACAACCAGAGCTTCGGGTCCCCCGGGGGGGTCCCCCCGGGGTCCCCCCCCCCGGGGGGGTGTGGGGGGGGGGGGGGGGGCAAAAAAATCAAGCCCTATTTACTCGGGGTCAGGGCTCCCATCCGAGGCCCTTGATTTTCTTCTCATTTCCCAACATTTTCGAGGGGAAAATCATCCTTTGGAGCTACATGGGCCTTGGTCAAATTCCCCAAAAAATTGGTTCCTCACTGCCAGCCACGATTTCACACAACTTTGGGGGCAAATTCCTAGCCCACGAACTGCTGGGGGGTGCCCACCACATGCTAGGGGGTGGGTCCGACCCCCCCCCCAGAGGCTTCACCGCATGCTAGGGGGTGGGTCCGACCCCCCCATTAGAAAACGATACCATGCGAATGCCGATCCGCGCAGATACCCCAAAATCTATTTAATTGCCAATTAATACCCCGGTTTTTAATGCCTTCCTCAAAAGGGTTCCAAAGTGGTGATCCGTGGTTTTAAAATCATTTTTGGGAAATGTCTATAAAATACTTTTACAGTTATTGACCTGCTGACCGCCTGCGTCATCGATTCCGAGACAATTATTTATTTTCAGCGCATAACTCTTGCGCGCCGCTGCCCCCCCGCCCACCGCCGCGGTCCAGTGGACGCGTACACATCCGAGACGGATTGTGGCAAGACGAGGGGGTCAAGCGGTGTGACGCTCAGAGCGCTCCCCGTACCGCCCCCGGGGCCGCTTATAGAGCGGATTTTAGGCGGATATTTGGCATACCAGTCAACAGAGTTTTAGTTTGGCGGGTTATCGCCTCGGTAAGTGTCCGGGACTGCTAGTGTGGTCTCACCAGGCCATGGACCCGTCGTCCTGCCGCCTCGGCGTGGCGAGGGCGGGCGCGCAGAGGCCTTGCCGCCATCGCGTTGCCGCGAAGGAAAAAGAATTTAAAGTGAGTATATTGTAGAGACTGACCATGTTCACAATATATCGACTGAGAGCTAAGCCAGGGGAGGCGATGCCGGGGCCGTACAGCAGCTTGATGGTGCTTCGCCGGCGTAGAAGCGGCCGCGGCGGGCTCCGGGTGCCTGAAAAAGACGGATTTACGTGGGCTGTGGGAGATTTACTGTCGACCCAAACGACACTGTGCCGTGAATAAATAAATAAATAAAACGGACACCTCTACTAGGAGATGGGTAAAAAGGAACAGGTCCCCGCGCTGTGATCCTCTCATACAGGGCTAAATATTTACCGAGCCGTTTTAAAGTTCCACCGCTACGACTGGAGATATATCGAGATTTGCTCACCATGAGCGTTATGGCGCGAAAGGGTTAATATCCAGCACCTCGCCGACGACTGGAACGCTAAGTACTTACTTACAGCTGTCGGTACAGAGATGCCAGCACCCCCCAGCAGCAGAGCGGGGGGGTTCCGGCCCCCCCAGCAGCAGAGTGCTCCTGCTGGGGGGGGGGGGGGCGGTCCCGACCCCCCCAGCAGCAGAGCGCTGCTGCTGGGGGGGGGTCGGCCATGACTTTAGATGTGCAGGGGGGGGTTCGGGTACCGAGCAGTGTGCGGCCGCTCTTGGGCCTCAGCCCTCACTGTGTTCTGTGAAGCGCTCGGACCTCGACAGGCTCCAGGGCGCAGGGGGTGCCTGAATCCTGAACCCTCAGATTTTAGATTTAGGACGCTGGCCGCACCCTCCAGCATAATGCAACAGACACGTATGTACTTTCGTTCATACAGTACTCCGTGGCACCTTGGTGAAGTACGCTGGCAAGCCTCCGCCGCTCGGCCCTCCGCTTCCGACTCCGCCTCTGCTCCTGCCGGCGCCCTTGCTGCTCGCCCCGCCGACGCCACCGCGACCCCTCCCCCTCCCGCTGGCGCCGCCCGCTGCCGTGCGCGGCTGGGTCCTGCCAGCGCTGCTGCTCTGCTCGTCCAGAGTGGTGGCCGGAGGCAGCGCGCTACCTCGCAGGGCGCCACATAGCGCGCAACGCGCCGAGCCCGCCTCGTTGTCGAGCGTGCAGGCGGAGCAGGACCAGACGGCCGCCGGCGCTGGTGCTGCAGGCGGGAGGGCAAGCGGAGATCCGACACGTTGACGCTTAGAGTCCACATCGCAAGCAGCCAGCCCTCCTCGTCCGCCGCCGCCGCCTCCTCCGCCGTCGACAATCGACGCGAGGCACCGAGTGGCGGTGGCAGAAGCGGCGACGGGAGAGGAAGGAGCGAGGGGGGCAGCAGCGGCAGCGGAAGCGGCGGCGGCCACGGCGGAAGCGGCGACGGCGGCGGAAGCGGCGGCGGGGGGGGATGCGGGGGCGGCGGAAGCGGGGGGAGCGGGGCCGGCTGCGGCTGCGGCTGTGCACGGGGCGGCGGCTGCGGCCGCGGAGAAGAGCCGCTGCAGCGAGCCTCGCTCTTTGGGGTGCGCCTCCTTTTCGAAGCTGTCCGCCGAGAAGCCAAAGTTGGTGATGCCGAGCCGCGTGGGCGGGCGCAGCTCGAGGAGGGGTCCGAGCAGCTCGACGCCTTGCCGCGCGATTCCACACGCCGACGGGTCGCGGAGCTGGCTGCGGCGGGAACGACCAGCCTGGCCATCGAGCGAGACGTGCGCCACGAGGGTGGTGGCGATGCGGCCGTGCTCCTCTCTCTGTTGCGCGAGCCGCGCCGCAATGTCCTCTGCCAGCTGCGACGCCCACTCCACCAAGCCCGCCTTCGAGTCGATCGGGCCGCGCACGGAGCCGCGCGCGCCAGAAAAGTTCTTGCACGCGCCGACCTGCTTAGCGAGGGGTCTCTCCCTCACCGCATCGTCGTCGCACCCGCTCGCCATGCGCACTGCCCGCGCCGCCTCCTCTCCTGGGTGCGACCACTCCCCACGCAACAGCCGTGCCGCCGCCGCGCCGCCGCCGGAGCGCAGCTCCCCCGCTGTCGCGTAGCCGGGCAGGCCGAGGTCTGGGCGGCCCTCCCGCAGAATGGCGCCCAGCTTCCCGCCAAACCCGCGCAGACGGTCGATGGGGAGAGGGTCGAGCAGCGCGTGGACGGCGCCGCGCGGCAACAGCGTCTGCTGGTTCGGCTTGTGCAGCCCGCCGCAGAGCTTGGCGAGCAGCTTGTTCGAAGCGATCCCCGCAGAGCAAGTGAAGCCCAGCTCGGCGGACACCGCCGCGCGCGCGCGTGCGACGATCACGGCGCCGGCGGCCAGCTGGATCTCGCCCTCATCCCACTCGTCCGGTGTCCTCTGCCACCACGCGGCGCTCGCCTCGCCGATCCGCCGCACCACCTGCCCCGCATGCCCCGCCCGAAAGGAGTTCCGCGCGAGCATGCCGGTCGGCTGCGCCCCCTTCTCCGCCTCCGCCTCCGCCTCCTCGGCGCCCGCGACGTGCGTGCCCGCCGCCGCCGCCTCGGAGAGCACGTCGGCGTACGAGGTGGCGCCGAGCAGCGCCCTTGCTGGCCTCGTCAGGTCGACGTACATCTCGTCGACCGACGCCTGCAGGAAGGGTCCGAGAAGCTTCGAGAAGCACCGCCGTCTCGCCTCCTCCATCGGTGTGTGACTCTCTCGCCTTCTCGGTGAGCGCCCCCTCGCCGCAGGTGCGGTGGATGAGCGCGAGTGCCTTGGCGCCAAAGTCGCGGTAGACGCCCATGTCCGACTTGCCGTGCGAGGTCGGCACCTGCACCAGCACCAACTCCGGGCACTTTGCGACCGCCTCACGCCCGCGGAAGAAGCGAGTGACACCGCGCTCACGGGCCTCGTACGAGACTGCGATGATGCTCCCGTTCTGCGCCGCCGGAAGCAGCACGCGGCCGTCACGCACAGCGACGCGCGCCGCCGCGGGCTGCGCCGGCAGCGAGACAACGCCGCCGATGTTCTCGCCGCCGCCCGAGCTCTTGGAGTTCTCGTACGGGTTGTACTGCACCACGGCCATCGGGAGACCGAGGAGCGACGGGTCGAGCGCCCGCTCGCAAGCGCAGTAGAAGCAATCCATGTCGATGAGGGCGACGCAGCGACCGGACGCGGACAAATGCATGTGTTTTTACCTTCCGGCCTCCACCACGCGACTGCGAGCCGTTGCGGCTGGATAGCAGGCTCTCTGGCCGGGAGGGTCTAAATTTATATGGAAGAATTTCAGATTGCTCGGAATGTGAAAATGTTTTTTTCAGATTACTCGGCGAGCACAGATTACTCGGAATCGAACAAAATTTTAGGATTGTAGATTACTCGGTCGAACAAATATTTCCTCACAGATTACTAGATCGATGGCGAGGCCTCGGCATCGGCCGTACCGCGTGCTCCTAAGCAGTACATGTGCCGCAAATGTGGCCAGCCGCGAAGGGGGTGCGGGTGCAAGAATGCAGCGTATGCAGGAGGGCGGCGTGCACCTGCCATACCAGCCGGCGGCCGAGTAGTAGTATGTGCTGATACCTGTGTACAGAACATCAGGTCGCATGTCGTCAACGTGTAGTGTTTGTTTTGTTGTATCGACTGCGTTTCAACTCCCGTCAGCCGTCGGTCGCGCGCATCCGCATGTAGCGAGATGGGAAAGCGGGTGTAGACGCGGCGTTGGTGCACAGGGCGGCAAGACGTTGTGACAGCAGCGTTTCGTGCGAAGGGCGAGGAGTCCGTGTAGTGGTTGCGCACGTTGGAGGGGGGCGTTCGGCGGCGGCTTTTCCACAGCCAGATGTTTACTCGGGCGACGGAAAATGTCTAACTACTCGGGTTTTTCAGTTTACTCCGGCTGGCCCCGAGTAAACTGCGACGGAAAGAAATGTGAATGTGGTCCCCTCTGTTTTTTTCAGTTTACTCGGGGCCCCGACGCCCCGAGTAAACTGCGACGGAAAAAATGTCGAAATGTCGTCCCGAGTAATCTGGTTTTTCAGTTTACTCGGAAATCCGCGTAATGTGATCAGTAACCAGCCTCCGGCGGGGCCCCCCGCTACCATCCAAACCCGAGTACCGGTCTACTATCATAGGTAGAGGCTCAAGTGTGACACTATAAGTCCACACACCCATACACATGCACAAAGCAACTCTCACGGCACACGGGCACCGGGTGGAGCGGCGGCGGCGGCGGCAGCAGCACGCGCGGGCGGACGGATTCGGACGGGGCGGAGCAGCGACCGCCTGGGCGGCCGCTGCTCTGTCTGCCAGAGCGCGCCGTCTGTGCACAGCTCGAGCGCGGTCAGGTGCACAGGGAAGCGTGGCGGCGCGGGGACGCGCGGCGGCGGTGGCGAGCAGGCGAGCGGCCCGCGCGCGGCGAGGCGGACAGGTGATCGGCAGGCGGGTGATGGGCCGGAGAGTGACCGCGCCCAGCGATCGGAGACGAGCCGATCGTCGCTCGGCCGCAGCTGACCTCGAAGGCGTGCGGAGCGCGACTGTCGGTGTCGGGGGGCGGCCGTCATGTGGCGAGGAGGGAGGACGACAAGTGCGCGTCGTACGGGTCGCTCTTCATCGGCCAGTCGAGCGGGGACGGTAGCGTCGGTCAAAGTGAGGGCCGGTGTGGGCCGGTGAGGCCGGCGAGATTCGTTGCGAGATACGGTTCGCGCCCAAACAAGTTTGGACGCTCGGGGACGCGCCGCAAAATCAAGCCCATGGAAAGGGGGCTACTGGGGCGGCCAATTCACACCTCGCGGGACTACTTATGTTTTCGTAAACGTAGTTGTGGCCCCCCGCTACGTCGCACGAGTGCAACCGGGTAGCGGGGGGCTAAAAACAATTTCAGATTCCGAGTAGACTGTGATTTTTCCAATTTATATTTCGGTGTGGAATGTTAGTACTGCATCTTTAGTGCACTTTAACGCGAATTTAGCGCAAATTTAGCGCGAATTTAGCGCAAATTTAGCGCAAATTTAGCGCAAATTTAGCGCGAGTTCACTGCGACTTTACATCCAGATTTAGCGAGGTTTAGTGCGTCTTTAGTCCAGCCGCGCAGTAGGATCCAGCCGCAGCCCCTCGCTGGGCCTCCCTCCCCCTCTCCCCCTGCAGTTCCCTGCCCACTCGCAAAAGTTCCCCGTCCCATCCCCAACCGAACGAAGGTTCTTCAGATAGCTTTCCGGGCTGCTTCTCCGGGCCCGCCGAGCGGCAAAACAGTTTGCCGGAAGCGGGGCGTGAACATAACGACTTTACTGCGATGGGTTGGCAGACACGGCCGAGCAGACGAGGGTGGCGCTGCCGTGGCAGCAGGGAGAGGCGAGGGGCACGCTCAACCTGCCCTGCCGGCGGCGACCAAGGTGGAGGACCTCAAGCTGTGCCTCAACGCGAGCGACTGCGCCGCGGTGATGTTTGACACGGTCATCATCGAGGTGAGGAAGGGCGGCTCTGTCCTCAAGCGCAAGCTCGACACGAAGGGCGTGATCTGCAAGCAGTCATCCTCCCATGCCGAGCGTATAGTGCATAGCCTAACCCATAGCATCGGCATCGAGCTATTGATTGAGCATTTTCTTCTTCGGTGTATTTGCCATTGCACTTAAGGAGGTGCATGACTGGGGCTGGATCCAACATGCTACGAGCACACGCGTATGTGGCTCAGTTGAAGAGGCCGCTCCCACAGCTCTCACACCTACCTCTCTGGTACACAATATTGGAAGCGTTGTGAATTGTAGACCATTGGCCTCCTAAAAATCTCTCTCTCAACTCTCTCTCCGTAAGACTTCAGAGAAGGCAAGCCGTGAAGTTGTCCACCGTCTCGGCGTCGACAACAACTCTCGAACCAGTCGTGCTGCGGGAACGGCCCCTCTGATTGCTCTGACAGGCACGCCTTGCACCTCACCATGGATCCGCGGCAGAAGCCAATCCCGCAACGCTTTCAGGAAAGAGAGGAGGAAGACGCATACCAAAACTGCTCCAATCAGTAGCTCCATACGTTGCCTTTCACTGTGTAGGAGTTGTTGCAGCTTCTCGATCTTTGAAGTCTTGTCCTGCAGCAACATTTTCTGCTTCCAAATGTAGTCTAATACGTCATCGCACCTCCGCCATGAGGACGGCCTTGTGCGAGCGCTGTCGTGGAGAACGAAGCGGCCCGAGTGTTCTGTTGCCTTCAAGACATATTACATATTTCCTGAGCTGAGGTATAGCTCGTTCCCTTGGTGAGGGCGGTCGTGTTTGTCATGGCCGGGTCGTGCATGTACGTCTGGGCGACGTCCGTCGGACTACGGTCCGTTTAGCAGGTCTTTGGATCGGCTTCAAATCGTCCTCCTTGACGCCGCTCGCGATGTTGGTACGGGCGAGGTCGAGTGTCTCGGTCATGGTTTTGAAGAGGGAAGTCGTGCGTCCCGCCTCGAGCTGCAGATCCCGGCCGGTCACATTCGTGTACGTGTCCCGCTGATACGCAAGGTACTGTCCAGTTGTGGGCAACCAGTGGCTCTGAATGCACATGCCGAGGATCGAATCTGACTCAAAGCGCACGGGGTTGGTGCCGCCGACCGTCGGGAGGAAGCCGAGGAGTGCCAGGAGGATCCAGAGGGCGCCGACGGTGCCGATTCCGCCGCAGAGAGTGGCGGTCGAGGCCAGGCCGTGCGCGTGGGCCGGTCGGGCTCGGTCCCGCGGCGGGCGACCGGGCGCCGCACGGCTGGCCCCGTCGGCCGAACGGCGCCGCCGAGCGGCCGGGCGCTTCGGTTTTGGGGGGAGGCCAAATCGACCAAATCGAAGTACCGTGCCGCGATTTGGGGCTGCTACTTTCAATGATAGGGACAGCGGAGAGAGAGAGAGAGGTCAAACTTTGGACCCCCCTCCGGGGTGGCTTGCCCGTGGGACCGACGGGCGCGAGTCGGACGGGCTGCGCCGCAAGGGGTGCCGCGAGACGGTCGGCGGCGGCGGGGCCAAGAAGAAGAAGGCGAAGCGGAAGCGCGGCTGGGTCTACCTCAACGACTGGGGGTGGGACCCGACGGACGAGTTCGTCATCGAGCGGCTGATTGGCAAGATGGTTGCCGACGGCGGGGACGTGCCGGGGCGGGAGGGGGAGGAGATTGCGGCGGGGACGGTGCTCTACAAGGTGCTGTGGGAGGGCTGGCCCCCGGAGATCGCGACATGGGAGGAGGAGGACCAGGTGCCGTGCGGGGAGGTCGACTTTGTCGCTGACTACGAGGCGGCGCTCGAGGCGGAGGAGGAGGAGGACGACGAGGACGACGAGGAGGGCGAGGAGGGCGAGGGCAAGGACGCTATGGAGGCCTAGGCGCGGAGGATGCCGCTGTGTGCGCTGAGACGCTCGTACTGTGTGTGCTGGAGCCGGTCTGTTGGGTGTGAATGTGAACACTGACGCTCACCTAGTAAAAGGGTTGGTCAACCATGTGGGTGTCTATGTGCTTCTCTCGGGCATTAGATTCTTATTTCATCGTAAAAAAGCCCCCGTATTCACTTCCCAAAATCGCGACCCGGGGTAAGGTAAGGCTAGGTATACTGTGTGTATGTCGGTACGAGGAGGCGTTGGGAGAGGGGTATTTTTCGGCGCTTGAAATTTCTTGCACAAGCCGCCTAACCGACTACCGACCGC